AGACTGGAAGTTGCCACCACTAATTGACAAGGCGGAAGTCACAGATTAGTCATCTGCCAGATCATGGTTATGCTCTCTATTGCCACTCCCTGAATGACCAAGCAGAGGGTAGCAACTGGTCACTGATGCACTAAGCTCAAAGAAGAAGAACCCATGTTGATGGCAGGAAGTTGCGGCTCTTTCACAGATCCATGCCTTGAAACACCTTTGAACAAGAGGGTTGAATGTCCCTTTCTATCTCTTCCACTCATGGAAGAAAATCAGAAAAAAAACCCCTACTTGCTTAACACCATCTCCCCATCCCACAAGAGATAAGAAACATTATTCCTCTAAGATTACTACTCACAGAATACACCAGTCGGTATGGCCAGTGAACTGTAGTCCAAAAAAAGTAATCTTTCGCATACTTAGTTATACACTGTTAAGTCAGAACTGACTTATAGCAACTAGAGACGGGGATATTCGTATTTGTAAACCAATGCTAATATCTAACATCCCAGGTGCACCTAATGTGGGCTCAGCCCCCAGGACCACTCACGCATCCTGGAGCTGCGAAGGTCCTGCTGTTCCTCCCAATTGAGGCACCAACCCTGCCCTCTCCCTGCTCAACTGGCCACTCAGCAGCCTTGAGGGGAGACTCGTCCTCCTGCTCCCGCCCCACCTGGAGTGGCCAGCCAAGCAGGGAGATGGTGGAGTTACCGCCACAATTGGTGGGAAGAGCGGGACCTTCACATGAGTGGACACATTCATATTCATGAATATGAATATCCCCATCTCTAATAGCAACACTTTATCGGGCTTTCAAGTTAAGTGAGATTATTTATTCAGTGGTTTAGGTGTTTGGCTGTGGAGCCAGAAGTTGGGAGTTCAGTTCCGCACTGAGAAGAGCCAGCTTGTGCAGCCTTGGGCAAGCTGTGCAGTCATGGGGCGCCCCCAGAAGGAAACGGTCATCCACCTCTCAGTATTCTCCACCTGGAAAATCCTGTAAAGGGTCACCGTAAGTCAGAACTGACTCGAAGGCACGTTATTATGATTTACCAGTTCCACTCCCCCAGGGAGCGTCCATGGCCAAGCGCAGCTGAGAAGAGCCCGCTTGTGCGGCCTTGGGCAAGCTGTGCAGTCATGGGGCGCCCCCAGAAGGAAACGGTCATCCACCTCTCAGTATTCTCCACCTGGAAAATCCTGTAAAGGGTCACCGTAAGTCAGAACTGACTCGAAGGCACGTTATTATGATTTACCAGTTCCACTCCCCCAGGGAGCGTCCATGGCCAAGCGCAGATTCAAACCCTGGACTCCAGAATCCTAGACCCATCACTTTATCCACTACACTGCCCTGAGGTACCTAAGTTTCCCCCATCCCTTCCTTCAAATTCCTAACCCTGTTCCTCCTATCTTTGGTGAACATCCTCTTCTTTCTTTTCCTGGCTCCCACAGCTCTTGGAGGGAATTAAGAGGAAATCAAATTAAACAGGGAGAATGGAATTTGATTTCCATGCTGGCTGATTTGATCACATTCTCTTCTCTTCTCCGGGCTCACTCCGCTGGTTCATCTGGGGACCCTCCCTCCCACTCCCCAAACATGTTCAGGTTGCAGAGAACAACAACAACAACAAAAAGAGCTGATACAGCTGTTAGGATGAGAGTAATTCTTTAACCCTGGCAGTGGTAGATGCCAACACAGTGCTTTTGACAGCCGCAAAGTGGGTCACTGCCTGTAATCCTACTAAGAGAAGGCAGCAGCTGAGACAAAGCAGGAAAAGATGCGTGAGCCCCGCAGGCAGCTGCAAATGGCTCCAGGTACAGAACAAAGCAGAACAGGGGACAATCTGGAAGACGCCAGGTACTTACTCATTCGCCTTACAGAGGATGCCAGGCCAAGCATTTGCCACAGGGACAGATGCGCCCATCCCCAGTTCCCTTACAGCCAACCTTGCTGGCCCATTCTAAAACCCTCACGTATTCTGCTCATCACCAAATACGCTTTGTAGGTACAATGCCTACCCACAAGATAGCAATTGCTCCAGCCACTTCTCTGCTATTGAATCCAAGGTACCTCTGATTGACTGAAGCAGGAAGAGATGCCTGTTGGTCCATAAAGAGGATGAGGCATTAAAAGTCAGTAAATGTTATGGCTTCAAAGCCAGAGTGTACAAAATGTTCAGAAAAAAATATTCATTCAAACATGACCCTCCTAGACAGTCAAGAAATTTGACTTCTACACTTAAGATTTATGATGTCTCAAACATCTGCAGAATCTGGCACAAGAAGTGGCTATTCAACTCTCTTATCTGTTTTCAGGAATCCCAGTTTCTCTGTCTACCCACCCCATCTCTATCCCTATCTTCTTCACAAGCCAAAGCAGCTCGTCTCTTACTACCGCCTTTTGCCTACTTTTACACATCACTAGCAAAATAACTCATGAAACTCCATGTCATGCATCTGTGAAGATTCTCAGTCATCCAGGTGAGGTTATCAGGAAGTTGAGTCATGGCAGCTGGACTTCTTTCTTGTTAGGCTGAAAGGTTCCGCTACTCCTCCAAGTAGCTTCTTCAGACTGCCATGACTCAACTTCCAAATCCACATAATGTATTTGGAACAAATAAAAAAAAATATTCTAGATGGCTTATGTATGGATTAACCAAAATATCAACCTGCTTTAGCACAGAAGGAACTAACACACTGGCAGACCTGAAGGTACCCAAGCTGCTGTTTGAATTACGAGCCTCTGCAATGGAGGGCCATAGCCTAAGGTGTGTTTTAAGCATGACTTGCCTCACCTTCTCCCCAGAGGAGCCACATAAACTTTACAGCAAGATTTTCTCCACTGCAATGCAGACACCATTTATTTTGCTAAGAAAACAGAGCCTTTCCACAGGGAATCTAGAAATTCAGATGCATGGACAATTGAAGGATGACAGCTGGACAAAGCAGATGCTATTGTGACAAGTGTTCCCCTGTCAGAGAAGGAAAGGCCGAGAGTCCTTGAAGGCTCTAGGTGGCAATATTCTTTTGCCAGGAGGAGTTGCCATTAACTCCTGTCAGTGGAGATGTTTGGTGCAACTTTTCCTTGGATTTAAAAGAATTATAGCAAACTGGAGCACTTGGGATGTAGAACATCTCCCATAAAGGGGAAGAACCCATGAAAATCAAAGGACGGGGAAGCTGAAAGAACAGGGGAGAAAAACCCAGAAAGAGACACAGCAATGGGAGGGTTCTTTCCTCTTGCAAGGATTTCACCCCATGGCACTCTGCCTCGGGGCAAGTTATTTCAGAAGACAAATCCAGCCAATATAATGTAGCAAAGCCTATATCCAGACCAGTCTCCAGATCTATTGGACTACAATTCCCATCATCTCAAAAGATCGCATTGGCTGGAGACGGTGGGGATTGTAGTCCTGGGCACCCAAAGCATGGCAGGTGGGGAAATGCTGCTTAAGAACGGGACCCATGCCGAAGGGAGAACTGCTGACATGCTGCTTATTCCCTCACCAGCTTAGGGACTCAGGAAATCCCAGACAGATGGCAACCCTTTCCCCTCTGTGTCCTGCAGCTGTTTGGGCTTTCCCGCTCTTTTGTAGTATCCGGCCAGGGAAGGCAGGCTTGCCACTCCCCCTTTCAGCCCATTATTTGGGATGTGAAGTTGGAAAGGCCTCCCACTGACACACCCACACACACACCCACGGCTATGCTGATTGGGTATGCTGGGAGTTGCCATCCAATTCTTGGAAAGTAATTCCTCTGAGCTGAGCTTGGATTCGGCCACCCGGTGGCAGCGGGCCCACCTTCTCCCACCCAGTGCTACTGTCACTGCCTCCTTGCCTTCCACTTCGTTGCCTATGAGGCACCCAAACCAAGGGGAAGAAAACCTTGCCTTCCATAGCTAAGAAAGCAATTTTGCACACACATATTTGGGGGCAAACCTCGCTAAATGCAGCAGAACTTGCTTCCGAGCAAGTGTCAACAGGACTGTGCAAGAAGTTGAGGTTGGGAACCTGCTTCCAAGTATCAACAGGACTGTGCAAGAAGTTGAGGTTGTCTGGCTGCCTCCTTTTGTATTGTGCAGAGCTGGACAATTTGTGGCTCTCCAGATTCTGGAGGACTGCACCTCCCATCGGTCCTGGTCAGCCCCAGCCCACACTGAGGGACGATGGGAGTTGCAGTCCAAGAACTTCTGGAGGGTTCAGAAGACAAACACTCTGGTTGTAATGTCCTGTGCTCAAGGATCTGGTCTGTTGTATTTTGATGAAGTTTTCCTACGGGTCCAAAGGTGAGGGTCAGGTATGTTGGGCAGGGGGGAGAAAATGACATTCGCCCCAAATAAGCTGCTTTTGTACAGCAGGGCAGACGAATGCACTGTGCTAAACAGAAGCATGTTCAGAAAGGCTTTTCAGCTCTACACATACATAGATCTGCAGGCGCCGGCACCTTGGTCAAGAAATCAGACTCAGGGGCAGTCTTCAACCTAGGGAAATAGAACTCTTGGGTGCAAACCCACATTAGCCTCTCCTGTGCCACAGTCACCCATTGGTCTAAAAAAGATTGAGGAAGATGTTCACAACCCGGCAGTGAAATGCAGGCTGTACCTCTTAGGACCGCTAGGATAGATCAGGCACATGCCTTCAAACCCCACCCTCCTGACCCCTGGGGCCGGGGTGTTCATCCAATCTCCAGCTCTTGTTTAATCCTGAAACTCCAGGCTTTCTAGCCTTTCAAAAATACCTCTTGTTGAAAGGTCAGCATCTTGAACGTGGCTGACTTTCTCTTCTGAGTCCTCTGGGGTTCCCAGCCTTGTCATTCTATAATCATCAATCCACTTCACTCATCAAACTTGACCTAGCTAGGAACCTGCTGCTAGGACCCTGTTGAGTGATTTAGCAACTCTCTTTTTCCAGCTCTGACTTTGAGAAGGCCATCTACTCCCCAAACATCAACGCCAGGACAGAAACACCCTGTGTGCAATGGCACAAGGGAAGAGCCAGCTGCTGGCATGTGAGGCTCACCCGGTTTGGAGCGTAGGTAGAATAATAACAGTGCAGCAGCTCTCTGGTGTCGTCTTCTGCTGGATTGCCACAGACAACAACCTGTCCAAAGAACAAAACAGAAGCAAGATGTGCTTTGAATCTTCCCTAAAGAGCAAAACACAGCCGGAAAAACCCTCAACGGAGTCAGATCAGCAAAACAGAACCACCTTGGGCTCGCAAGCAGAAGGAAAGGATGCCTTTCTCATTCTCTGCCCACCGTTTTTATGCATAAGGGGCCTGTTGTATTTCTCAGTTGAACCAATGGGACTTCTCAACTGATGGAACCAAACCAGGAGGGATCCAACCCACTCAATAAGAGGAAATGCCAAAGCGAAAGGCAAGAGCGGAAGTCATTTTGTATAGAAAGGCAGTTGTTGGGTTGAGCAGCAGGTTGTTTTAGGGGAAGCACATTCAGACATGAGGAGAAGAGTCCCGCCATTACTTTGGGGACCTGACACACCAGCAGAGGTATCGCTTAGAGCTGCCATTCATGGATTCAGGCTGGCTGCAGGACTAGGAAATGTATACGGCACTTTGAAGACTGGTGGCTCTGAATGCACAGAAGCTTACAGAAAGCACACCAAAACTGGAATGCAAACAACTCTTTGACTCATGGAGTCCTCTCCTTCTACAGGGCTGGGAATGGTGAGGGGAGATCCTATGAGCTATTCAGGAGCACTGACAACTGATGAGACCTCTGGCATAAGACCAGAGATGCCCAACTCTCATGACTCCTGAAGGAGGCCAGCAAGGCGGGGGGGGGGGGGGACAGGGGCCGCGCCAAACCAGGAGGGATCCAACCCACTCAATAAGAGGAAATGCCAAAGCGAAAGGCAAGAGCGGAAGTCATTTTGTATAGAAAGGCAGAATGTGTTAGGGGAAGCACATTCAGACATGGGGAGAAGAGTCCCGCCATTACTTTGGGGACCTGACACACCAGCAGAGGTATCGCTTAGAGCTGCCATTCATGGATTCAGGCTGGCTGCAGGACTAGGAAATGTATACGGCACTTTGAAGACTGGTGGCTCTGAATGCACAGAAGCTTACAGAAAGCACACCAAAACTGGAATGCAAACAACTCTTTGACTCATGGAGTCCTCTCCTTCTACAGGGCTGGGAATGGTGAGGGGAGATCCTATGAGCTATTCAGGAGCACTGACAACTGATGAGACCTCTGGCATAAGACCAGAGATGCCCAACTCTCATGACTCCTGAA